ACATGTACAGGACAACCGTATACATGTAGTAGTATCCACAAATAATCTGAATCCAGATACTGAGATACATGTATGTCCCAGCTACAGAGCAGTAATGGCCTAACCTTACTTATAACGTTTAAATCACATTAACAGAGCACTACATTTCATTTTCTTCCCTGAACCAAGTTATTAGGTTGACATGATATCACATTTGAAAATGTCATAGAGAAAATTTATAGCATAACAATCATGGCACTCAAGGAACAAGTTGCCTGAAAAAAGAAGAAGGGCAAATTGTAAGCACTTAATGTGAGATATGACGGCATATCAAAGAAAATAACTTGTTCTGGGCAAAACTTTGGTAGAACAGGTTTCATCCTCTTCCTGCTAGAGGTCTGAGCTGAAGTACATAGACTCAGCCATTTTCTCATTATCACTTGCCTTTGGCAAATTTTCAATTTGTAAGTATAAATATGGTGAATACAAGGGTAGTATACGGATATTATATGAAAATGAATGTTCCGTGAGAGGCTTAATTTAAACCTGTTTAAACGTTGCTTACCATGTTGTAAACAATGTATACTACATGTTTTGTAAACCGAAAACTTCAGGAAAATCGTAAGCAACTTTGTGCTCACGAATATGAAACCAACTGTCAGTTCATTTGCAATGTATTGTTATGATGTTGTTGTGTGAATAAAGTTTACTTTTTATAAAAAAAAAAAAAAATCACTTGCCTTTTTGTCCTTTGCTTTTTTTGCCTTGGACTAAAGAATGTTAATGGAGGGAGCTACACAAAATTTTTTAACAGCGGAGCACTCCAGTCCCAAAATCTTTGTGGATTTTCCTTCTACTAGGGGTGATGATAGGGAAAGAAATTCTTACACAATCTTAGCAAGTTTCTTAGGAAGGGTGAACCTCAGGCTAAAGACATTTTCATTCATCACGACTCAGCACAGCATGCCTCAGCTTCCTTTCACCCTGAGGATGTTATTTATTCTGAATGTTAACTGCTTCATGTGTCTTTAAAGTTTTAAAGATTATACAACTTAGGGAGTTTGAACTGTCATTGATGAATAAATATTTCATAATGATCCAAAATCAGGATACAACTTGCCCATGAGTTAAGCTCAGAATGACATTTCTAATTAGTAATTGTGCCTCACATTCCAGGATTCTATATTTTACTTGTTTTCCTTACAGAATGTGTTTGAGATTTGTTAAATCACAACCAACATTGGGGGTGTTTCATTTCATACCATAGCTAATGACCTTCAAATAAAGGTAGGACAGCCTCTGACCAGGTGCATGCCTGGCATCTTCAATTAGAAAGATACTGATAACAACTGAAGAAACTGAAATATGAAAATTCCCATTCCCCTAAAAAGGTTTGGAACCATCATGCCAGGGTATATCACTTCCCGAAAAGCTACCTGTATTTACCTTTCCCGATCTGCCCTCTGCCCCTAACCACATTGGCTTGTCCCTGCACGTGGTGGCTGTCAAGACGTACTTGAGAAAGCGTGCTGTACCTGGCACCCCAGGCAGTACACAGGAGATCTAATTTAGGCCGGTACATGTTTAGCTGCGGGCTGGGATGGAGAATTGGTATTTGTGTCCCCAAGCTAAGCATCCATCTCTCAAACCTGTTCCAAGTGCAGCGCTGCTCCCGCTATTGATTGCTTCTGCAGGCCCTACTCCATCATAACTCTGGTTTGTCAACAGAACAGATTTCTGACATTTCTCCATGCCTGAGCTTTTGTGATACAAACTTTTTAAGCTCACTCAACCAATTTGTAAAACTTTGTACAGTCAATCTGCCAAGGCCAGTGCAAAGTCCTTTGGGTTTTCAGCTATTTTTGATTTACATGGTTATGGAACAGAAGTCGTATAGAATTGTAAAACATCGTGCATCCCTGTATAGCAACCTGTAAAATTACACCAGGGTCTATGTGCAAATAACATAAGTAATGTTTTATACAAGTAAGTCAAAACTGTGGTCATGGTTGATAAAACATTTCAATGTAAGTAGCAATGACCAGAATCATGACAGCTGTAGCTGTATGGTGTAATGTTCTTTACACTGCATTTGGGGATTGCTAGCTATGTTTCCTTTGTTTTGACATGTTGTATCTGTAAGAAGATAACCCATCTGCTGTACTTCATAAGACTTACTAGTATCTAAATCTGCAAATCACTAATAAATCCACAGGCTTAACCTGTACAACTCTGCTGAGATTGAGTGTTGAGATCTGTACCAGATCTTGTGGTATCACAGAAAGAGTCCTAATCTCCTGTTAAATAGGAAAGTCCCACTATCTGATAAAGTGTCTCCGTCCATGTTTAACTCTGCAGCAGAGACCCAGTACAGGTGGTGTGCAACACCTCCTGATAAGGCATTATTGGAATATAATGTCCTTTGAATATGTTAATGCTTGCATTTTACTCTCCTTTTTTCTGAGAGGGATGCAGGAAATACCTTGGATTTGGTTTTGTGTTGTATATGCAAGGGAAAAAATTACAACACGACATGCTTACAATTTTATAAATTACAACTTCTGGTGGCCACGTATCAGATGGAACAGAGAAAAGGCAAATGAGAAACTTGGATGTGAGTATCGTCACACACTTGCTAAAAAGAGCAAAAAAAGAGCAAGATTTCACTTTTGGAGGGGTCAGACTGATGGGATATCAATGCATGTGCTAATGTCACCAATAATGGCTTTATGCTACAGAACGAAAGAGTAAATCCAGTGCTTGAATTTTGCTGAAAATGTTTGATAACCAATAAATGATATTACAATGGCCTGAGCCAGGATGATGTTGCCGCCACTTCTATCTGTCCCATAAGGAGAGAAGAGCTGTTTGACCTAGATACATCACATAACAGGTTTACTCATGTTTTCTACAATTTTGTAAAACATCAAAAAGTCATTCCTGGAGATCAAGGGGTCAATTTTGATGGTTGGTGGGCCAACTGTTTGTCGCCAGCCCACATCAGCAATGAGCCAATAATCATCCGATGAGCCAGAAATTGCAAAAGAAGCAAAAGTTATTAAGTTAGGATGATGAGCTAATGATCACATCAATCAAACCATCAGATTCATGGGATAGCAGGGAAACCTCTGTGGAACAACAAAATGATGGGGACAAGAAGTTGACGTTTTGATGAGTCATGATTTTATCTAGCAGAGTTGTTGTATTCAGCGAAGCAACAAGGGTAACCGATAACATACACTGTATATCCACAGGATCATCAGCACAGAGAGAAATCCATAGAAATGACTTAGACTTGCCCCTGGGAATTGGTCGACTGTCAGCAGATGTGAAAAACTACCTGGAAGTTCTGGCAATATTACAGATCCTGCCATCAAAGGTCAGAGGTTAATAGTTATAGTGCTAGAATTTCCAGAGCATGTTCTGAAGTAGTTATTGTTTATAAGGCATATAATCTTTATTGCCTAACAATTCGTGTGCTGAGTCACAACATGGAAACCGCACTAAACTTTTCCTTATTGGGCGCTCTTTAGGTACCACCTTTTATGACCAAAACTTTCAAAGCCTTGCTGTAAAATGTTCAAGAATTCTACTTTTCTAGGAAATCTTGAGTTCATCTTTGCACCAAAATGGCTACCCTACACACCAGTGCAGATGTACATGATCACTCAATCTGACAGTTTGACAAGATTAAAAAGCCATCAAAAAACCATTACCTACTCAATGACCTGAACTAAGCCCTGCCCATCATTAAAGATCAGAGTTTAGGTTATCATACAAGAAATCAGCTTCTGAAGCAGGATTTTAAAGTTGGACTAATCCAAGTCCTAGTAAAGACCAACACTAAATAATAAACTTTCAAGCTAAGAAATATGCTTACAACAAGTTACAGAAAAGAGTATGCAGGACCCCTAAGATGTTTTAGACTGTTGTAAAATTACATGCCCAACTTTTCTATCTTGGCCTATCTTTTATTTATTGGCTTCTAAAAAAAATTGCAAATGGCAAATTCCTGCACAAGCACTTTTTGGAACATCAACAATTATACATTGCTGTTGTCCAACAAGGGAGGTCTCAGGACAACATGGTAGAGCAGCATCCATATGAGCTGAATTAGATTACATCAGATTTAATGATAATTGATGAAGATAGCTCTTTTCCCTGGAGATCCTAGATACCAGTCCAGTTTGGGGCACTGACCCACCAAAATTAACCCAGATTAGCCAGCAAAATGCCATAAGTCTTTCCACTTGACTCAATTTACCTTTATTACTTTAGCATTATATGTGCATTGGCATCATAATAATCACAATTGCTTGAAGGAATTATCTGTCTCTGCTGCCAGGTAGATTTTCTTGATTCCATATATAGGAAGCTTTACTCCCACTGGTCACATCAAGGGGGATACATAGTGATTCAATTTATCTTGGAAATAACTTCCTACAGTACTCCATCTATTTTTTTCTTCAAGAAGAATGAAAATTACCCTGGTTTACTCAAATCAAATATGAAACATATGACAGTTCGTCCATGTGTGGTCCAGTTTCCTACTTTAGGGATGTCCGGATGTAATTTCACAGTGAAGATAAAGTTGTCCCATAGATCACAGTTCCACCTGGGAGTCACATGTCTGGGGAGGGCCTGCACCATGTGGGGGTAATCAGAGGGGCAGGGAGGGGCCTGTCATCTCTGCCGGTCCTGTCAGGGGCTGTAAATCTGGACACAGAAGGCTGATAAGGACGGAGCTGGGGCAAATGGCTGATTAGAAGGGTGTGAGCCTACTTACCAGGTGAATCCCCTTGGTGGTGATTCAAGTAACATGTGTGAGGACTGACCCTAGGCAGTTACATGTAGGTTACCTGGTCACCATTGAGGCAAAAATCCTCTTGGGCTGTGTTGGCTTTTGAGCCAAGAAGCTGGCCTGAGTAGGCCCTGGACAGTCTGGATTCCAGGTTATCACTTACATTGTAAGTTCTTTTGAAGATATAGAGTGCTGCCTTTTATACAAGTAGTAACCTTACCTTGTACCAAGGTCAGGGTTGTAGGGGCACTGCATAGTGGAGTGTCCGATCGTCTGCCTCCATCACTCTCAGCCTGAAAGGAGAATATGCACAAGGTATGAAATCAGTATGAAAGTTACATGTACTTACTTGCACGTGTGATGCCTGGATAGAAACTCCCAGCTTCCTTCAGCCAACACACATGGCAATAATCAAGGTCACCATAAACAACACTTTATCAGTGAGGGGCTGACATGACATATGCTTTTCCTGAGATCCTATCAGGTCCACAAACATGTTCCCAGTCCCAAGTGGCAAAACTAATCTGTGCACCTCTTATCAGAAAAAGTATTATTACAGAGGGGTAAGTACTTTGATCACAACAGATGTGAAGATCAGATAGTGACATTCTCTGCAGTCCTCCTGGGTTCAATGAAGCAAATATAAACACCATTTAGCTTAGATAGATTTAATCCTGGTGTCAGTTACCTCTGGGTTACATCCATCTTATGTCCCAGGCTGTATGATTTTGATGCAGTAGAAGTAGACTGGCTGTGAAGGAACCAACTGTCAAGAAGGATCTTATCTATGAATTTCCAGTCAGTATTAGCCTGGGTGCCAGACTGTTTACAGGGCCAACTAAATTGGCCAGTTCCTTGACTCCAGGTCCAACATTTTCCCAACAAAAATATACCACAGCCCTCCTGATTCACTAGCCTGGGTACCATCCTATTTGTATGCTGCGACTTCCATACTCCCCCCTATGAAATTTCTCAGTATGGGATCCCTGGCATACAAATAGGATGGCACCCAGGCTACTGATTCACAGGCACACAGCACACTGGATAACTTTGGGCTTAATGTTCTATAGGTCTGGTGTCTGGTACTGTACCATCAGGAGCTCCTGGTATCTCTTAGACCATGGGACTGCAACCCAAGGACACTGCTTCTCTGCAGTTTCCTTCTCTACTCTAATCACCATTCCTTCCACCCCCACAATCCAGAACTTTCCCACTTTCTGATCCACCTCCATTGATTTCTATTGATGATAAAGCCTTAAGTAGGAAATTAAATCCCTCCAAGATTAACTCCACAGAGGTGAGTAACCCTGCCTGTCCAAATTGCCTCCAGTGAGACTTATTTATTAGATATACATGTTCCTTCCCTGAGAGGATCAGGACCATTAGGGATCGAAAGAAAGACTTGATTTTGAATTACAACACATCAAGGTGACTCCTGCAAGGATGCACCAATTAGATTGTACGGTATTTGAGGGAACAATAATTTCTTTCAGGGAAGTAGTATAACTAGGTTAGGAAAGCCATTCATGTTTAAAATGTGAAAGAATGTTTACCTAAATGTTGAAACTAATTACAGTGGGTACACCTTGAGTATGAGATTTATAACTGCATTCAGCTCTATAAAATCAAGTCCAATTTTGAATGTCTTTAGATGTAGCCTTGTCCCTCTGGCACATGCAGTAAGCCATCCTCCATCCCTTCTCCATATAGATCGAATTCCATGGATCCAGAGGGTACAGGATCCAACTCAGCTTGGCAGTTGTTAGGAGTGCATTCATCCTTTTGGATGAGGACATAGAGCTACAGTACATGTGCAAAGTATGCAGTCCTATGAATGGGAATCCTCGCGTATATACTTGAGAACCCAACACACATATTGAAAACAATATTGGTGACCTGTTTTACTTTCCTAAAAATGCAAGTCATAGCTACCTTAACTTCAACTCTTTAACTGGCACCTCAGGCTCAGACAAATAGATACATTGTCCCTTCTAACATCTGCTTGAAGATAAGATCCAACAGGAACTTGCAGCTGGCCTGCAAGGAGTTAGCCAGGCTAGCAAGGGGTGGCACAGTTCACTTGACCCCAGACCATATGAACCACCGTCCACACAAGTGAAGTTTCCTTCACTTTGAAGTGCATTAGACCCACTAAGGTGGAGAGTAAATATTTTGTTAACCATGTACATTAGTTACATAACAGGAAACGCTTCAAACCCCAAATCCCCACTGAATCTCCTGAGCAGAAGGCAAACAGTGCAGAATTAGTACATCAGTGAACCACTAGGAAAGAAAATCTACAGTTTCAAATGTAATATAGGTCAATGACATGGTAATGGGTAACCTTCCAATTACGTCCTGATCATACAGAGTTGAACCAAATCACATTTTTGCAAAAGGAACCTACTTGCCCAGGGGACGTCCACATTTCATTAGGGACTGTACGATATTTACCGGGGGGGGAGGGCCGGTCGTCTGAGGGGGAGGGGCCTAGGAAAAAAATTTTGAGCCGGGGGAGGGCCTAGGAAAAATATTTTAATTTGGGGGAGGCCTAGGTAAAAAATTTTCCAAGATCCCTTTAACTCTACAACGTTTTTATACACTTTCAAAACATGATTAAACGTCTGTCCCATACATATCGTAGCGATTTTCCAGTCATTGGAATTGGCAGAATTTTACGTTCCAATAATATC